AAGTTTTGTCCATGGGACCGAGTGCCACGTGTAAAATCCCCCACTCTACGAGAGACAAGTTACATAGATTGGACAATGATGTGGACGTTGAACAAGAAAGCATGGCCTGCCCAGAACATGGGTTTCTTCATCCTTGGGAGACAAAAAGAGTAGGGGTCTTAATCCAATTCAAGATAATTACGTAGTCGATGAAGATCATTATTTCCTGAAATTCCTTATAGGCTGTTTCTTTCTTGGTTTTAAGTTTTTTTTTTTTTTTTGGCTTCAAATGGCCAACTTATTGCAACTTTCACTACCTAGTTTTCAACATAAAAATAGAAGTTTTTACATGAACATTTTGATAATGTTATTGATTTGATGGTCCACTTACTTTTAAATGTTAATGATGTAAAAAATAATTTTTAAAAAACACGTAAATAATGCAAGTAATTTACTTTTTTCAGAAATTGAAATTACCAAAGATTATTGTTTCTTTTAAGAGATTCCAAGTTGTCAACTATTATTGTTTTTTTAATATTTGAGGTTGTATTGAAAATGATCATTAAAATTAAAATTAAAATTAAAATTTTTATTAAAAATTATAAAGTTATTTACTCATTATGAGTGTCCATTGTTAATCCAAACTGTGAAATCAAATAGTAATTTTTAGTTAATTTAGTATTGTTATTGCAATTTTAAAAAAATGCTTTTGAAAAAATATGATAAATTTGGTGTAGTTAAAAAATTTAAATATTCAATTTAACTATGAAAAAGTATGATAAGAAATTAAATATCTAAAAAATATATCTAGAATAATAAAATATTAAAAATATATGAATATTGTAATAATTTTTATTTCAAATATATTTTTTCATCGTAAAAACATATCTTAAATAACTTTTTTATTTGATTTTGAAAATTATATATTGTTATTATTTAATATTAAAATTGAATAAAAATAATTGTTAAATACAAAAATTACTTTTGACAATTACACTTAACTAGATTTAGCCCTAAACCACCTATATTTTAGTGGTTGTTTTATTTATTAGTACTTCTTAAATTTCAAATCTAAAATGAATGGTTATGACTAATAAGGCCAATGAGATTGGGTTAGAGCATAAGCACAAGCTTCTAGTGCTCGGTAGGCACTTTTCCATTAAAAAAAAAGGGATGAAGCTGTGATAGAGGTTTTGGTTTTGGATGCATGTGATTTCCATTTTTCCACAACCTAACCCCAAATTGAAACAGTTGGATCACCATACTCAAAGCCCTAAAAGAAGGTGTGAAACCCCACAAATGGGCAACGAAAAAAAAAAAATGAAAGCCCCATCCCATCCTCTTCCTCACATGGTCACACAGTTGATATGCCATTATTGCATTTATTACAAGTAGTGTTTTTTTTATTAAAAAATGACGTGGAACCTTCTCATATCTTATTATATTTTATATACAAAGGCGACCCACTTCGGAAATGGTAAGAAAGATTGTCGTTTAATGTACATAAGTGAATAAATTAAATAAATAAAATTTGAATGATTGTATGAAAGACATGAAAGAAAACAACGGATGAGTTTCTTGTTCTAAGTTTAATGTACATAAATGAATAAATGAAAAGGAAAACTTGGCTTTATGGATTAATTTATTAAAAAAATGACAAAAAATTCAGAAAAACAAGAGTGCTACTTGTCTCCAGCTAAATTAGGTAAGTTAGAGGGGATTGACCTCCAGCTGGTTCATAGCAGAGCTGTTTTTTTTTTTTTTTTTTTTTTTAAGAAGTCCAGAATCAGTTTAATTATTTGGTGATTATTTTTAATTATAGAGATTCCAGAACATTATTAGTTCTGAGGATTAGATGCTTTAACTTCTGCAGCTGCTGCCACCGCAGCCGTCGACTCGTGCGGTTGTAGTGGACGTCACGTGATCATCACATGACTTACAGTTGTGTATGAACGGTCCAATTATGATGAACAGGGTTAAGGCCGAATGTGGTCCAATTCAAACCATGGAAAACAAACAATCCTTATTTTTCACAAAATATTACGACAATACCTTGGAGTGGGAAATAAATTGCTGTTTATTTTTTGCTAAAAAGAAGGTGTGTGCTTTTTTCTCTGACGAAAGCTGAAAATATCACGTGGCTGTCCTTGACTGATTCAGGGGACCCTAATTCAGACAGTGGTATTGTTGTAAATACCTTTCTTGATCCGCTTCATAGTTTGCCTATTTAAACGCCTTTAACGGTAAAAACTGAAAGACAAAACGCATAACGCCTGGGAGCTTATTGCATGTTTTTGACATATACAACCCTCACTTTTTTCGTCTAGTTGCTGTCACTTAAAAGGGTCATTTAGTAATTTTAGGAAAATTCAGATGCTGTTCGTCCAAGACAAATGTGGACAGGTCCTGAAAATCATTAATGGCCCTTTATTCCATAATAAATTTATTTTCTTATTTTTCTTTGGGTTTTTTTAGAATAATATTAAAAATGAAAAATAACTGATCCGTATGACGGAATTGGAATTTGTGGGAAATTACTGTTTACAAGGAAAATGTCTGTGATATCCCAACCAGCGTACAGCTGAGTTGAAAGTTAAATCTAATGGAATTTGATTTAATATTTTTAGATAATAATAATAATATTATAAATTTTTAAAATTTGATTAGAATTTAAATTGATTTGATGTGAATTGGTAAAATTTTATTTATTGATTTTTAAATTTTAAATTTTTATATATTATTTTAATAAAATTTTTAATATATTTAAATAAATTTATATATAAAATAATTATTTAATTTTATAAAAATTAAAATATATAAAAAAATTAATAAAAATATATAATTTGATTTGATTTTAATTTTTTAATTTTTTATATTTTGATCTGATATTTTATTCGAATTTAATATATACATTTAATATTAAAATTTGATTTGAATTGAATAAAAAATTAATTTGAATCAAATTAAATTTGATAATTTTGAACTGATTTTTTATTTTTTAAAAATTTCTTTTACCCTTAAAGCTGACAAAAAAAAATTAGTTCAAGCATTAGGGTTCAAAGGGATTTTAATCTAATATCATTTTATAGTTAAATTTTTAAAAACTTTAATTTTTAAAAGATTTATCAGATAAACTAAAATTAAGTTTTTTTTTTCTTTTTTTAATTGGGGAGAAACGGGAAAGGATATTGCGAGTCTTTATGGTATTTTTTATTAATAATTATTTGTTAATAGGATTGAAAATGAAACTTCATGGCTGAAAATTCTAGGCAAAGAAATTTTCTCACAACATACAAACAAAAGAAGATACAGTTTGCATCATAGAGTTTGACTCGTTTTGTTGAAATTCCAAAACTTTGATTTGTTTTTGATTTTGATACGGTGAACTTCAAGTCTAGACCTTCAATTATGAATTTATGATTATAAATTTCAAAATATATTAACATAAGTATAACTTATAAATTGACTCATATTTAGTAAATTTTTTTAAAACTATATTAAATTAATAAAAAAATACTCTTAAATTCACTTATAAAAAAATCACTCCAATCTTTTTTTTAGATATCTTAAAATCATAGTTTCTTTTAACATCTTAAATTTTTATTTTTATATTTAAAATTATTTTTTAATGATTTTAAAATTTTTAATGTTAGAAATTATGAAAATTTAATTTTATAAAAAATTAATTTTAATATTAAATATATTAAGATTAAAATTTTGTAACTTTATAAAAATTAATACAATTCAAACATTTTGAAATGGAAAGAATAAATTCAATCGAAATTCTTAAAATATTTATGATTTTCTTAAAAAAAATCTAAAGCATTACTGTATTAATTTCAGCACAACAATCTTTTACAATTGAAAATATTCCAACTTGTCAAGTGACTACAGAGATTGTTTGGTTTGATGAATTTTAAATATTTTACTTATAAAATTTAAATAAAATTTCACTTGCAATAATTTTTTAATGATAATATATAAATCTAATATTAAAACATTTTTTAATTTACGATTTATCCTAACCATGGAATCGAAAAAAACTTCCATTACCGTTAACTTTTTCACATAAAAAATACTCGAACTTTCGAATTAAAAAGGTGAATTTGATAATTTGAGCGGGGCAACATCGACATTTCACTGCAAAATAACGGAGGCAAGATGGGGAGGTAAATCAACATATCAAATCAAGCTCGAAGACTCGAAGGAGTAACGCACATTCAAACATTCCCGTTCATGGCGGGGACCTTAACGTGTTATCATTAAAATAAAAAATTTAAAAATGAAATTACTTTTCTTTTGAAAAAAAAACGAAATTACTATACCGTTGTCAGGTAATTCTCTTTTTTTTTTTTTTCACCACTCCTTCACTCAACCCCCAAAGTTAACCGCAGTAATTTCGCAATACCCATACACTTTTCTAACCTATTCCTTGTGCGCTCAACGCACCCCAAAGGCTAAATTCCCCTGACTGGCATGGTTTTAACTACGTGGCAAAAAACAAGAGGCTGTGCGCATAACGCACCCAGGCATAGGTTAGGCATGGTGAGCTAAGATCTACTCAACCCATGTCCGCGTCAACTTCAGCTAAAGTGGCGTGAACAGAGGAAAAAATAATTAAAACATACCGACAAACATTGGTTTAATCGATTAAATTCGATTTTTGAACGAAGAGTAATTGAATTCAAATTTTATTAATGATTATTTATTGAGATTATTTTAAATATATTATTTATAATTATATATTTTAAATTATTAGATATAATATATTTTATTTTAATTTGAGAAATTAAATAATTTATTTATTTTTAGATTTAATTTTTACCCAAAAAATAATTAAAACATTAATTTAATATTTTATTATTTATTACCCTTAATAATTTTTTATTTTTTATTAGTAATTATTAATAAAAATAAAATTATAAAACTAACTTTTTTCTTACTTATTTATTATTTATATATTTCCTCTGCTGCTTTTGCTATAATACGCAAGGTGCTCTGTTTCCTTCTTCTTTAGCTCTTCAAAAATCAAAGTGATTTCTTTTCTTTTTAATAAGCTTCCTCTTAAGCTCAGAGATGGAAAAGGAGAGCTTTTTCCAATCATAATTCGAAAAAGAAAAATCTTTCATTTTCAGTTTGGATCTTTGGTTCGGGTTTTCGGATGGCCGTTTTAGTACTCTATTGTTAATTTGAATCTTCATCGTTGTTAAACTCAGAATGGAATCATCCGAGCTTAAGAGATCGAAGGACTCGCCGAACTCGGACGAGTCTGCTGGGCTATCATCGTTTCCCGACGAAGTCCTGGAGCGAGTTCTCTCTCTTTTGAAATCTCATAGAGACCGAAGCTTCGTTTCTTTAGTTTGTAAGGACTGGTACAACGCGGAGAGGTGGTCGAGGACTCACGTTTTTATCGGAAACTGTTACTCCGTTTCGCCGGAGATTGTTGCACGGCGGTTCCCGAACATACGGAGCGTGACGTTGAAAGGGAAGCCTAGATTTTCAGACTTCAACTTGGTGCCGCAAAACTGGGGTGCCGACATTCACGCGTGGCTGGTCGTTTTCGCCGCCAAATATCCGTTCCTTGAAGAGCTTAGACTTAAGCGAATGGCAATCAGCGACGAAAGCTTGGCACTTTTAGCCGTTGCTTTTCCTAACTTTAAAGCTCTTTCGCTTTTAAGCTGCGACGGTTTTAGCACCAACGGACTCGCCGCCATTGCCACTAATTGCAAGTAAGTTCGTCACCTCTTTTTTATTTTTAATTCAAAATTATATTTTCTAATTTTGCAGTGTTAGAGATCTCGGTTAAAGTTTCTTTCTTTATTTTCTTTAATTTGTCATTTTTATCTTTCTTTTTGTGATAAATTTTTTATCTTGATTATATTTGGGGATATACCATGGAAAATTAAGGGAAAAAGTGGATTCTTTTTCAATTTCTTCTTTTTTGTTGTTTTTCTTTAATTTTTGGGATGTGACGTTTGAGCTGTGATTTTCAAGGAGCATTTTGATGGGCGGCTTATCATTGATGTCATTGCCAGCAACACAAATATCATATTCCCCCATATTGCATTATTGGGAAATTAATTTTCTGATAAGATGTTTCCTTTTTTTCCGAATCCGAATGAAAATTTCCTTTATTTTTTCTTATGAAGGAATTTGTTTGCTACGAAACTATGGTCAATATATAATTTTTTTCCTTTACCTTGTCAATGAAAAGTCAGCTGCTAGCTATTTGACCCTTGTTTTCCCTTAATTTGTTGATGTAAAGTTGGATATTTGGATATAACCTTCATTTTGCATCTTTAATTTCAATGATCAGGCCTGAACTGTAAGGGATCCAAACCAACAAATATAGTTTCTACTTGAGATGAAGATTTCTAAAGTCATTTTTGAAAATTTTCTTTTTATTTAGAAAATTAATTACTTGGGATGGTGCCCTTTTGTGCAATTAATGGGCATATGTTTTAGGTTTTGGTTGTCAATTTTTTTCTCTTGACTAGAAGAATAGGGACTTTTAGTGGGAAATTAGAAACGGAACAGTTCTACTTTTCCAATTCTCACTTTTTAATATTCCTTTTTCCTTTTTTTGATGTGACATTCAACCTTTCAATATGCATTTATTGTATCAGTCCTTTTAATATGCTCCACGTTATCACTTCCCTTATATGCCCATTTTCATTGGTCGAGAGAATTGACATCTTTATCAGCCCTTTAGGAATGATTAAACTAGAAATCTACCTACTTAATTTCCAAGAGCTAAATGCCTGTAGACATGGTGTAACAGTTCGGGAAGTCTTTGGAAATTTTCATCTGGTTCTTGGACTGTGTTTGACATCTTAATATTTTGAGCATTATTCAATCAATCTTGCGGCTTTGTACACCCTCACGCTATGGATGTCGGTTTTTCTTGTTAAAGAAATTTCTAAGTTCTCTTCTTGTTTGCAGGAACTTGACTGAGCTTGACATACAGGAGAACGGCATTGATGATAAAGGAGGTAGTTGGTTGGGCTGCTTCCCAGAAAGCTTCACATCATTGGAGGTACTGAACTTTGCCAACTTGACTAGTGATATTAATTTTGATGCACTTGAGAGGCTTGTAGGTAGGTGCAAGTCAATGAGGGTTTTAAAGTTGAACAGGAGCATATCCTTGGAACAATTACAAAGACTTCTTGTTAATGCTCCTCAATTAGCTGAGCTTGGTACGGGCTCATTCTCGCAAGAACTTACTTTCCGGCAATACAAAGAGCTTGAATGCACATTAAGTAATCGCAAGAATATGCATACTCTATCTGGTTTGTGGGAGGCCAAGGGCATATATCTCCCAGCCTTGTACCCTGCATGCACAAATCTGACATTCTTAAACTTGAGCTACGCTGCTTTGCAAAGCAGTGAACTCGCTAAGCTTCTTGCTCACTGTCCACGACTTAAACGCCTCTGGGTAAGAAGACTTCTTTGTTTCAAGTGTTCCATTTGTCTCAATTTTTAGAAAATGATTCATTGATGGCTCCACGCTATATTGCATATATGCAAATAGAGCACTGAAGGATTTCTCGTTACATTTAGTACTATTGTGTTCTTCTTGCTGAAGAATTGCCTTGCATTGTTAACATTCGTGATCCTGTAGCTTGCTTAACATCTTGAATGACTTAGACAAATTAAAATTTTCTTGCCCATAAGAGTTACCTATTCAAGCAACAAACCATCCATACTTCCTTGTCATCCAAAGGGTGTATTGATGATTGAGAACCGCCATGCTAGTTAAATAACCATAAATTGTGAAGGGCTTAACTTCTTAAATCTTCTTTTGCTATAGGTCTTGGACACAGTACAAGACAAAGGACTGGAGGCCATTGGATTGAACTGTCCTTTGCTTGAGGAACTGCGAGTTTTCCCTGATGATCCCTTTGGTGAGGAAATTGTCCATGGAGTCACTGAAGCTGGGTTTGTGGCTGTGTCTTATGGTTGCCCTAGACTCCACTATGTCCTATATTTTTGTCAGCAGATGACTAATGCTGCTGTAGCAACCGTTGTACAGAACTGCCCTGATTTTACTCATTTCCGTTTATGCATAATGAATCCAGGTCAACCAGATTATCTTACCAATGAACCTATGGATGAAGCTTTTGGTGCTGTGGTCAAGACATGCACTAAACTCCAGAGGCTTTCAGTTTCAGGACTCTTAACCGATCTGACATTTGAGTATATTGGTAGGTATGCTAAGAACTTGGAGACCCTTTCAGTGGCTTTTGCAGGCAGCAGTGACTGGGGGATGCAGTGTGTTCTGGGAGGTTGTCCAAAACTAAGGAAACTTGAGATAAGAGACTGCCCATTTGGAAATGCAGCACTGCTGTCAGGTTTGGAGAAGTACGAGTCCATGAGGTCACTTTGGATGTCAGCCTGCAAGGTGACAATGAATGGTTGCAGGCTATTAGCAAGGGAGATGCCTAGGTTGAATGTTGAGGTAATGAAGGAGGATGGAAGTGATGATAGTCAAGCTGATAAAGTCTATGTTTATCGTTCGATTGCAGGCCCGAGGAGGGATGCCCCGCCATCTGTGCTAACTCTCTGAAATTCTTGGTAATCTCTCTCTCTCTGACATGTGCACACTAACACAAAGGCCTCAAAAATTGTAGGTAGAAAACAGTTGGTTCTGTATTGCAAAGGGTGTTTGTTTCCTATTTGAGACATGCTGGGAGTGTTTATACTGGTTTGGTAAAAGTGCCTTGTTGCATAATTTGCTTTTTAATGATACAAAGTAGTGGCCTAGGTTAAGATAGTTTTCATGTCCTAATTATAAGTGATCTTCAAACTACTCTACTATCAGTTTTTTGAAGTTGTCTGAAGTCAGAGTTATGGCGATGATGGAGCTGTTTATATCTTTTGTAAATTGTAATTACTATTTAGTTTTTGTTTTTTTGGTGAAGCTGTGAATTTCTTGCCAGTTTCTAACAATAAAGTTTGTTTGTTTTCAGCTGTAAATAGTTTCACAGAAGACAACATACCCTCCTGCAGGCATAGACTTGGATTTATATTCATTCATACAACTGAGCAATAGTGTAAAAGAAAAAATACGAGGATCTGCAGAAATCAAAATTGGTTCTTTAACCTTGTTTGTTTCTTTGAAAAGGCGCTAGGTGAACAGAAAAGCATTAAACACAGAAGGTTGTTCTAAATATTTAAAGCCTCAAAGGTTGGGAGCAAGTTTGCTTCATCCGCTTGAGTTACTGCACCCCTGAAGAGCAAGATTGCAAGACTGCCAACACTGAAATGTATGAAGCAGCCATGGCAGTGGGTCACAAATGAACTAAAATCAGTCCCTACAACACATTGCCACCCAGGTCCATACGCCCCGTCAAAATCCTGCTTTGTGAACAAACATCAAAATCCACACATATATTGTTTGTTCAAGTGTTTGATACCCCATACAGAGTTACAGTAATTTATAGCTTTGAGCCCTCACCTTTTTTATAAAGCGGGCTATATCAGTTGATTCCGTGGCTTCAAAGACATCAAGAGCCTTTGCAGCTAAATGAAGTGCGTCATTCTGCATTGCCTGGAGCATGTCTGTCTCGCCTACAATTGCTTTGCCCTCTAACATCGCTGAATAGAGCTTTGTTATTAAAGAAGGAGCTGGAAGAAGAGAAGGCAGTGGAGACTGAATGCCATATGATGGAAGGATTATATAGAAAAACGAACTAGTGGATGCTGCTAGAGTTTTCTGCTAGGGTGAAGTCTGAACCCACGGGGTCTGGTCATGAACTGGTTCAATGGATTAAAGCCAGGTGATTGCGTGATACAGTGGAGCTTCTTGGACCCATATGATCAGAGCTGGCTTACGTGTATGCTTAAAGATCAACGGTTCTGTTTGCACAATGTGTTAAAAGAGACAAACTACATTCGGTCCACGTTATCTTGGGGATGTAGGAGTTTGCGGTATTATGACTAGTTTGGGACCTCGGGTTGATGATTTGTTGTCTTTTTGCGTATGCTTTTGTTACTTGTCTTTTTATTTGATCGAAGACTAAGTTTGCTCATAGGTCTGCCACTTTCCTTATTGACCCCTAACCACTTCCTATGAAGTTGGAGTCTTTAGTGAATTATTGCACGATCATTTTCCTGTAAAAAAGGACCGGGTTACACATTTAAAAGATAATCTGCTAATAAATTGGACTACCTCTCACTCTCTCAAATCCTCACCTAGTCGTTTGTTTTGAATTTCGTTTCAATTCATTGCTAAGCAAGTTTTAATGGATTGTACCATATGTAAGATGACATGATACATTGGTGATGGAAAGGACCCCTCTAGGATAGCTTCCTTGTGGTGTTTGCTTTATTTTTTCACAAGTAGGAGAAAAACAAAACAACATGAATTCCTTAGGTTCTCAAACCTAGCTGGGCTGAATTTGACAGTCCATCCAAAAGTTATAGATAAAAGAAAAGGTTCACATGCCCAAAATCACATTTATCTGAAAGGCATTGGGGAATCCACAGAGTCACTCACAGTGGACCTGTGAATTAAATTGTCCTTAGATATTTTTCCAAGAAGGGCATCCATATGAACCACGAATCTGCAAGAGGCAATAATACCCATTTGCATTTTTTTGAGTTACTTCCACGATTTCACTCCGAAGAAAAGAAGCCAACTTTCACCATTTCAACATTTCAGCCGGGCATCGTCTGATTAATGGGCTTGAAATGGTCCCCATTCACGTCACCCGGCACGTGATTTCAATGGGATCTGCCCAATATCCAAGTTTCGGTTAGGTCCACTAAAGATCTAACGAGGCCTAACTTCTTTATTTAGAATACTTCTGAAGGAAATCATGTTTCTGAGCAAGATTTCTTTCTTTTCTATTTCAGTGTAAGCCGAGGACTAGTCGCCAACAAATTCATAATTTGATTTCAAACATCTTTATTCTTTTCTCTTCACTCGTTATTTGAGAAATTTGGTTTCTCTTCAATCAAATTTTTGGATTGGGGTAATCATTAGAATTTAAGGGCTAGTAAGATTTTGTATTATGGGTGTTAATCATTAATTTGGGTTCTTCAATTCACACTTAAAAAATCACCCCGACCTTACTTGTTGAGGGTTAGTTTTAGTGAAATGAAAGGTCTATTTAGGTTTTTGTCCCTCAGATTATCGGTATGGTCCTTCAATCCAATAACACAATGACACAAGCTTAGTTTAAGCTACTTTCTGGTAAGCTATCTCTTTCAAAATTGAAGCAATCATAATAGCCATATTGATATTGGATCTATCTTTGGAGGTCCTATGCATGATGTTTTGATTATCTTATCGTTTTCTTGCCCTGGAAGTTACAAAAACTATGCTATTCCATGAATGTTTAAGCAATTATATTATAAACTCATGAGGTAGATAATTTAAAATTTGGTGTTTGGATAGCACGAAAAATGGATCGCGTTTGGAAGTACAAAAAGAAAGAAGTTAAAGATTATGGTCAAGTAGTCATGTTCTCCGTGCCAGGATCGGTGGCAAGAAAGTAACAATAAATTCGGATGGTTGGATGGGCTTAATCGCCATGATATCTGGGCTAATGCACATGTTTGATGCTCTATTTATATTGACTGGTCGCAATTCATGATCTCCTGGCCATATGCTCAGATAGCTGTAATAGAGAGCCAAACCAATTAGCTTTGCCAGCGGTGGCTCCACACCCTGTAGCGGTCTTTATTATGTTTGTTCAAATAGTAAGGATAACCATCAGCAACCTCAAGGTAGGATTATGAGTAAATTATATTGTGGAAGTGTCATTATCAACACTAAAATAAAATGCATTCAGTCCCCTATTAATGAATCACATCACGGTCATTACTAATAGATTCTCAAATCTGGTTATTTGAAATTAGATTAAGGTGTGATTCGCAATTAATTTTATCTTATGTCATTAACATGTAAGCAACAATCAACGAGCTTAATTGTGAACATAGGGGGCGGTGAGTCCACAGCCGAGAATTTCTCTCGAATTGCATACATACCATTGCTGGTACTCACAAGCATTAATCCAAAAACATCTGTATTCATTCAATAGTTGGAATGATTGTGAACATATAATTTGGAGATTCCACAAGGAGATGAGAGACACCAGATCCAAATGTCTCCATCAACCCAAATTTCTATTTACTTTTTTTCTCCTATGTTCTGTTTCTTTACCCTATTTTAGCTCATAATTATTAGATCATTTTTGTCTCTTGTTTTGGAGTAGTAGATAATGGACATGAAATATTTGTTATCTATACCTTTCTCTTTGAAGCAAAGGTATTTTGTAATTGTGCATTTATTTAGAATTTCCCTTCTGCCCTACTCAAAGGTAAGCTAGATCATCACTTTCTTGCTTTTGCACACGATGTATTGAACCTAACACCTCCTATGGCATTCAACAACAAAAACGGCATAGAGTTTTAGGGCTTTTATGCAACCGTACCTGCACAACAGCCTTATAACCAACAATTGAAAAAAAAAAAAAAAGAACTTTACAACTAACACACAAGAGACTAATAATGAACAAAAATGCCCATCATTACATGGCATATATTATATATCCCACAATCTGATAATAATACAGGGAAAGCCTTTGAAAACTAGTTTGAAACTAAGATGCAAGAAAAGCTGAAGATGCTGATCTATGGTAATTGAATTGGCTCATTGGACCTTGTATGATAAATAATGAGTAAGCAAGGGGGGGAAAAAAAAGACCCCACTAACATAAGGCTGGTGAATATGTAAGTACTCGACGGATTTGACAAACATGCGGTCCAAAGGGATGGATTGAGGCCATGTTTATAACCAACTATGCTGTTAAGGAGAGATGCAGATCGATCACTGTTGGATGCAACATTCAGGTTGTGGAGTTAATTGCTCTTCCTGCCGGCACCATGTCCTAAGAACATAATAGTTCAATACAGAAATTAGAACCTCAAACTCAAAAGTGCAATCGCTGACTGGATTCCCATACTTGTTAAACTAAAACCATTTTTTTTAAATTCTTCAAATACAAAGTTACATTAATTAATCAAATCAGACCTAAAAAGAATTGGCTGTAAAACCTTAGTTCTTATGACAAGATTTCATAAAATATTTGATCCGTGACTCACAGAATAATGGGGGGCATTTGTCTTGTAATACGACAGTCATAGCATGGAATTAGACACCTAATCATATCATGCTTCAAGGGTCATTCAATTTTTTTTAACATTTCAATTGTCTTCTTCCAAGGGATATGCTTTTGCCTCCTTATTTTTCATAAGCACATATACCGTAAACTCATCCATCCTCCAAAAACTAAGGCTCCGTTAATTTTAGTGAATGGTCAATTCCCTTTATGTTCACTTTTTGCACATTTCGCTTTGACAAGAACACTGCTTTTGGCTTTTTCTTCTGCTTCTTTCTTAATCTAAACCTCACCCAAAAAAAAAAAAAGGGATAGAAAAAGATAGGTACTTTCTTTCCAATGTAATGTTGGTTCACCTCCACTTCCTGTTGTAAAGGTTACTGCAAGCTCAAGGCATCCAACAAAGGGCTAGCTTCACATGGTTTGAAATGGTGGGGGCTTTTTCATTTTTTTCCAGGCTGAGAAAATTGAATGCTACGTTCTTTTTTCGTTTCCTTTTTCGCACCAAATGGAAAGCCGTATCCTCATAAATGGGTGGTCCATAAGGGCTTTGTTTTTCTCTCTCAAAGCCTTAATCCTTCAACTTTGTCCTTAGTTTGGTTCAAACGAGTGATTTCCAATTGATTCCTTATTAGTATTCTAGTTCATTTACTTGTTAAAGAAATAAAAAAAGTAAGATTTGCAAAAACGTTTTCAGTGCTCGAGAAACGTAGTAAAATTTCAACTCTTGATCCAAAGTACCAAACGCAATATATATAAAAACTTTTTAAAATTTTTTGTAGTTGGAATTAGGTTGAACTATGAAGCATGTCATGTGTATTTATTTACATCAAAGTTCTATTCTTTCACATTTCTTATAGCTGCAAACCAAGATAAAAAGCTTTTCACTAAACCAGATAATGGACAAGAGATCATCTTCACTCTTACTTTGATTCATATACTAACTAACTAATACACTTCAGCATGTTTTAGGCAAAGCACACCGCCCTTAATTATATTACTATGAAATAAACTAATTAATTACTATCCTATATATGAATAAGATGTATGTATTTCTTTCGCCACACGTTTCATATATTTTCTGATTTCAGTAATTAATATAATCTAAGTAAAGTTGACAATCTTGCCTACCTTTAAAAAAAATATAGGGTTTAATTTAAGTAATTTATATAATTATTTAAAAAAATGATATTTAATAAAATATAAAGTTTAAATCTTAATATTTGTAAACTCTTATTTTATTCTCAAATTGTCATTTGTATAAAAAAAACCTATAATAAAATGTAAAAAGCAATCTCCATCTGAACATCTCGTGAATTAAAAGCAATGTTAATACTATTTTTTTTCTTTATTAATGAAATTAAATTGGAGCCCCATCTTGCCTAAACGTAGCAAACTAAATATTAGCTTTTAGCCATTCTTTAACACAAAATAACCGATATTTTTAATTCATGCACCATCCTATTTATTATGGTAGGATCAGAAAATTTTGAGTAAATAGTGTTAATCATCTTCTTGCGTATGAAAATAACATCCCCCTTTTTTAAATCTCATTCATACCAAAGACTAGTTACCTTATATATTTTGATGGAATTAAAGTTCTATTAAAGTCAGAATTTCCCAACAAATTGCTGAAGCCTCTCATTGTCATTTTTCTTTAAAGTAGTCATCATTTAAACTTATCAGTTGAGATTTATGTACAGAAAGAATGAAGTTGGTGATAAGGTATTGTGAAAGTAACGGTTAACTAATCTATCCCATAAAAGTAAAATTGAGTACTAATTAATTCACCATATGATGTATAGCTGCTGTATGATTCTGGAATGTGTTAAAATGAAAAGAGGGTTTTAGAGCATCATTTCTTTTTTATTTGAGGGAAAAAAAATCGAACTTTGCTCTTGGAGGCACCAATCAGCTGAATAAAATCAACTAAATCAAATTCGGATGTTTAAAAATCTCATCTTCATTATCTACAAATCTCATTTCCCCGTAGATTTCTATGATTTTTGTTTATGGGGTTAGACTTTGTCCAACCATATCAAACGGTTAAAAGGTAAGAAAATTTCATGGGATCTCATTTTAAAAAATCTTATCGTAGTCAGGTGCCCCACAGCTACCCAATGTAAATCCATTCATGTACAATCATCAGAAGAGA